TACTACGACGAGTAGTAGTTAAGTTTTTAAAAGTTTTTTTAAAAAGTTTTAAACTTAACTTACGTTTACGTACGTAGGTAGTAGTTGTTCTATACTAACTACTCTCTCTCTCTCTCTCTCTCTCTCTCTCTCTCTCTCTCCTTTAGGTTTCCATATATTGAGCAATTTCCAATCAAAAGTTATGACAGAAAATTAACCTGAGAACATGCAATTGTCCAATTGAAAATAGGTTTTACAAGGGAAATACCTGAGAACGGTAACTGGACAAAAGCCCACTTCTCCCCGAAAAGGTTTTCAGGCAGGTCCATTGGGAATGGCTTATCTAATGCCAAAAGAGGCTTAGAACCTTTTTGGAATCCAGGGTGTTGCATGTACACAGTCTCATATCGCTCCTCAAGCCATAGAAGTAATGATATACACTGTAAATTGCAAAGTAATAAAAATCAATGAGAAATCACACGCATTTTTCTATCTAGCAACGTAGAAGGTTTACAAGACTCAGCAAGCACACGGTTAACATACAGTTTGTAAAGTTACAAGCATCCACAAACAATATAACTAGTGAGTGACAAAACCTACGTTAAGGTCTAGCAACCTTAACAGCAACTAAATTTGCTAGAAGTATAGCCTGTAGTTCACCAACAGTAGGATCTCAACATTGAGACACTGTACAGGTTAAAATTTAGATCTCAAAGAAGGCAACCTTAACTCGAAAGACTTAACAAAGCTATCTTAACAAGCAATACTGAAGATCCAATAAAGAAAAAGAAACCTGCAATGCTGAAGATGCAACTTTCAGAAAGGGTAATCATGCTTCAATCTAATCCAATGGATTATGGAAACAATAAGGGGAGAAAAAAGAGTCTTTGGTATTTATTACTTCCAAAGAATTTATCCATATTGATCAACTTGAACCACCATCGATAAGTGAAAACATATCCATGACACATAAAAAAAATATTATGTGATTTGGTGTGTTTTGGTCAACATAATATTTGCACTACTGGTGAGATGAATACAATCAGCATGCACGCGTGCAATTTGAAATGCTCATACTCACTCAAAATATCAAAAGTTTTTTATACACAGTGAAGATGGTAGAGATGATAATCAATGTCATGACCTATAGCAAGAGTAAAAGAAAAGAAAAGAAATTTTCTTTTCATTAAAGCTCATAAAAATAATAGAAATAGATTAAATATGTACATATCAATCAAGACATTCAAGGTCCCAACCCCATTCATGAGATATAAATGACAACTCTGGGTTGATTTCAGCAAGGAAATCTTGATTGTTTTTCAACATTCAATCAATTAGTATTCTATTCTTCAGTAGAAAAGTAGATAACATTGTGTACCAATTCTTGCATGTTCCAATAGGATATAATGCAATGCAGCTATGCTGACAAAATTGCACTCTTGGAACAATGTAGTCTAATACAAATATTGCAAAGTAATTCAAAAACCATTCCTGAAAAAATAAAACTCGTGTCACGAAAATGGAATGGAAAAATCCCTTAATCAAACAGTGCATGAAAAAAGGACAAAATCAAATACAATAGACCACAAAGGAACACACCCTTTTAGAAGGCACCGGCTTAATTCCAAGCTCTTTACATGCTCTTGCAATGATTGTTTGCATCTGGGACCTACACCATTTTGTCATCAGTACTTATATAACACATGCATCTTATTACTCGTGATAAAGGGTCGCGGCTTCAGAGAATGATTGGGTGCATGTAAAAATGGCACAAGTGGGAAAATTTGTATTTTGTGCTGCTGTTGTGTGAGAAAGTACTCATCCTGCATCATTTTAAGAATTTATTTGTGCATCTATTGTTTGGGAATGTAATTTTCATGTTAACTGTTGAGAACCTTTTTGTTGATATTATTTGGGAGGGTATCTATTAAAGGTTAAAGAAAGCGGTCTGTGGTAGAATTCTAATGGAAGTAATGGATCATTAAAATCTTGTTGTTAAGTAGTGTCCATAATTGGGAAATTGTATTTGTCAAGGGAATTATAAGTTCAAATTCATTGTGCTGTGAGCTAACCCCATCAATGGAGGTAGTCTGACGATAGTTATGTCCTTCTGGCAAATCTTGCGAGAATTATCTATGAAAAAATAATTATCTTGGCTAAATGCATTCCATGGTTGATACTGCTCATTGCCCCTTTTCTTAAAACCAAAGTGCTGAATTCTTAGGAGAGATACCATTCATTTTGTTAAAATTGCATTGCTGAAGTCTCAAGAGAGTATTCTAATGATGTGTGGAACAGTGGCTCTTATCCAACACACTTGCACATTTCTCCTAAATCTCAATCCTCAATACTGTTTTATAAAAAAAACATCTGTCATTGCTCTTTTAATGTCAACAGAGACAAGAAATCACAGGCTATAAAGCTAAAGATTCAGAAAAATCAAAATTTGAAGTAAATCCATGAAGTTCGAATAATATGATTACTGCAATTGCAACAAAAAGTTGATCCCTTGACGACAGCGAAATAAAAGGTTAATTGGGTGATCCGGTCAACCAGTCTCATTAATCCCCACTCTCACTGTTAAGACAAACAGACTGAAAACATGATGTGGGACAACAAAAATTGTTTTATCGAGTTTCTATACAGATTATCCAACCAATTTGATTTATCTCAAGTTGATGAAGAACATAAAATCCATTTAACATTGGTTCATTTTGAAAACGAAGCAGTTTAGTGGTAACCATTGTTAGAAAAATCGGGCGATCTAACCGCTACCGCCTGGTTAGGTCAGGACTGGCCACTACTGGTTCCTGTTTTGGGCAGCTTTGGTGATCGACCGGTATTTAAAAAAAAAAAAAAGTATATAAATTCCTAAAAATAAAGAATTTGGTTTGTAATGCATTTTTTAATATTCTTTACATTATGGTAAAGATTATTTTTGTCATTAGCACCCACTTTAATTCAAAAATCGATTCGTTCAAATCTCTTTTTTTATTAATTTTCAACTTTATTCGAATATGTTTTGTTTTAATCATTCTTTATATGTTTTTCATATTTTAGTAGATTTTTTTTTTTGTATCTTTTTATTTTACACTTTTTGACTGCCCGAGACTTGGCTAGTTAGAACGGTTGAATCGGCCGGTTTACTAGTTAGGCTAGTTAAACCGCTTCCAGGCCCATGTCCGGTTATCCGTTCCAGTTAGATTTTACGAACACTGGTGGTAACAAAGGGTTAGGAATAATGGGATTCCTACTCATTTACAAATACTCATTTCATTTAATATGGACACTTCACTAAAACTTTGATCAAATTTACAAGACTCACATCAGTTAAGAATAACAAAATGCAATTTTTAATCTCCACCAGTGTTCGCAAAATCGAACAGGAACGGTTAACCGGACATAGGCCCGGAAGCGGTTTAACTGGCCTAACCAGTAAACCGGCCGATTCAACCGCTCTAACCGGGCAAGTCCCAGGCGGTCAAAAAGTGTTACAAAAAAAAAAAAGATATAAAAAGAAAAAAAATCTACTAAAATATGAAAAGCATATAAAGAATGATTAAAACAAAAAATATTCAAATGAAGTTGAAAATTAATGAAAGAAATGGATTTTAACGAATTGATTTTTGTCTAGAGGTATTTTTAAATTTTTTTGAAAAAGATGGGAAAATATAAAAGTGAGTATTAATGACCAAAACAATTTTTAATCTTTACCATAATGTAAAGAATATTAAAAAATGCATTACAAACCAAATCATTATTTTTGGGAATTTATATAAATTTTTTTGATTTTTTTTTTAAAAAATACCGGTTGATCACCAAAACCAAAACCGGCTAGTTTCGATCTAACCGGGCAGTTAGCGGTTAGATCGCACGGTTTTGCGAACACTGGTCTCCACAATGCAGCAATGGCTGTAAATTGTGTACAAGTTCTTTCGTTAGTTTCATTTTCATTTATAAGAAAAGGTCAAAAACATTCATTTATTTTTATTTTTTTAGCATATTAAGACGGGAATTTGGTATGACTGATGGATGATCAAGTTCACTATCTTGTTTATATTTCGGTTCACCACACTGCAATGACCTATCGAGGCTCTACTATCAAGTGAATAATAGTAGCAGAGAAGTGGAGATAAGTAGAAAGAAGACAGAAGAAGAAACAGAGATTTCAGCTGGTACATCATGAGAAGGGCTTGTCAAATTTGCTTGTGCTGTTCTTGCAAGTCATACAAGGAGGTAATAGTGACAACAAAGGCTCTTACTTTGGTTTCTGTAAAATAGAAATCCTTCATGTGTTGAATGAATCCATAATATTTTTCAGGTTACTTCTCAAAATTTCACGACACACACACATACAAACAGAGGCACACGCGAGCACACACAAGCATGCGCTTCCTACACCTACACACACGCCACCACCTCTCTCTCTCTCTCTAACACACACACACAGAGGCGCGCAAGTGCACTCAAGCATGCTATTCCTACACCTATACTGCCATAAAATATTTGTCCATTCACATTCAAAAACCAAATTAAACAATAAATTCGCCAAAAATACAGTGAATAACAAAACCCATCAACATAAATGCAAGGAGAACAAAGTGAATCAATTCACACAGATGGACAACAATAAGACAATTCAAAAATTACCTGAAAAAACGAATCCTCTCTGGTAAAGGAACACCCAAGGTCTCAGAGATCAAAACAATGGCATCCCTAAGTGTAATGCTATTTATGACATTGTTAGGGAAAAACTTTGTGAATTGAAGTGAAAGCGTCCCATCACAAACCACGAGCTCCCACAATTTCTTGCCCCTTATATCAAGAATGGGTCTTGAGCAAAAATCAAGGTCCCATTCAGTTATAGTTTCAGGATCAATATCAGGATCCAGAAAGCTTACCTCATCCGTAAAATCCAAGGAAACAGATTGGGGATCATCAAGTGGTGAAGTAACAAACTGGTCTCTGCCTGTATTTAAGCTATGGCAGACTCTCCTTGTTCTGGGGCACAACCAAAACCCTTGAAATGGGATTTTGGAGGAGAGAATCGGGGTTCCAGAGTAGGGTTTAGGGTTTCTTGCTGTACCAGTAGTGAAGCTCAAAGATGCCATGGCTATGGCATCCTAAGTGTTTTTTGGAGGCCTCTGGTTTTATTCCTTATCTCCAAAATGCATGGCTGATTTAGGTGCACAATTACACATCAATAGCGTGGACCCTCTGATACACTGAATCGTTTCTCATCAAGAAACTAGAAAAGTATTTTGAGGTTAAAATCAATCGAGCTTCATAGGAGACTGACTACTGTATAGTATTTATCTTTGTTATAACGAGGTTATAATTGTTATTAGTAATTAGATGGCTCGTGGTGCAGCACAATATTTAGATTTTTTTTATTTTTTTTTTTTGTTAATTTTCTAGGGAAGACAATTTTTTTTTTTTTAAAAAAAAAAACTGAGTCTAGTCAATGACACACTCATAAACACTCGATTAAAAATTTGACGGATAAAAGTAACCATGACCTTATATCATTTTCCTAAAATAGATGTAAATCACAGTTTTTTTTAACCCTAAACGAAAAAGGAAAAATTAAAGTTGTAACTCTATACTATAGAAATAACGTGTACTTTAAAAATTCAGTAGAAAAGAGGGTTTTGAAATTAAAAGACCTTCAAATTGATAAATTTGATCTCCAGATGAATGGCATGAAGAAAAAAAGAATTTCAATCTTAAAAATAATTCTTCTAACAAGTTATTTAGACCCTTCATTTTTCAAAAATTTAATACTTTCAAATTTAAAGTTTATAATTAGATATTGAACATAGATTTTCAAGCCGTCATAAAGTATTTAACCCCAAAAGTACATCTTTTGGCAAAATTGAGTGGTGTGCCAATTTGTACAATACAAGATAAGTACCTTATACAAACCTCACCCCAAAAAAAAAAGAGAAAAAGGGAAATGATCCTAGGTATCATACATACAATTTGTTGGGGTGATTTTAGATCCCCCTCTCTCTCTCATTTATAATACAACTCTCTCTCCCTCTCATGTCGATTTGTTATACTTGCCTTGCTCAAATTCATCTCTTCATGCAATATTCATACCCTAGCTGTTCCCTGAAATCATTCATTCTTCAGAAAAGGTGCAAGTTGTCCTTGGCCCTAATACCCCTCATTTCTCAGCTCAACTTCGTCCTCTCTGGCCCTAATTCCTTATTCGCACGGATTTCCTTCTTTCAATTTCACCTTTTTCTACTCCCCTGTAGCAGAATCACAATTCAAAAACCCCCATTTACTGAATTATTTTTCTCGCTCAAATCAACACCCAAATTGCTTTCTCTAGCTCAATTCAACCCCCAACTCTGAAGTTTTTCAATTCAGCATGAAAAAATTTGTTAATTTTTTTATGAGAAATTTTTTGAATCATGCATCCAAACCAGCTGAAATACATGAAATAATATGGCTATGAGAGAGAGAGAGAGAGAGAGAGAGAGAGAGAGTATTATTACTACTACTCGCACACTACTAAACCAAACCAAACCGAACGTACTACGTACGTAACGAACCAACGAAAACGAAACGAACGAAACGAAACGAAACTAAAAC